AGCATCGATGCGCTCCAACCTGCTAGTGATGGCCTCCAACCTGCTAGGGATGGCTTCCAACCTAAGAGCGATGGCCTCCAACCTAGCACCGATGCCCTCCAACCAAGTAGCGATTGCCTCCAACCTAAGAGCGATGACCTCCAACCTAAGAACGATGGCCTCCCACCTAGTAGCGATGGCCTCCAACCTAAGAGTACATGGCATCCATCCTAAGAGCGATGGCCTCCAACCTAAGAGCGATGGCCTCCAACCTAGTAGCGATGGCCTCCAAGCTAAGAGCGATGGCCTCAAGCCTAAGAGCGATGGCCTCAAATAGTGACGGCCTCCAACCTAAGAGCGATGGCCTCGAACCTAGTAGCGATGGCCTCCAACCTAAGAGCGATGGCCTCAAACCTAAGAGCGATGGCCTCCAACCTAGTAGTGATGGCCTCCAACCTAAGAGCGATGCCCTCCAACCCAAGAGCGATGGCCTCCAACCTAAGAGCGATGGCCTCCAACCTAAGAGCGATGGCATCCAACCTAAGAGCGATGGCATCCAACCTAAGAGCGATGGCATCCTACCTAGACCTAGTAGTGATGGCCAAAAACCTAATTGCGATGGCCTCCAACCTAAGAGCGATGGCATCCAACCTAATTGCGATGGCCTCCAACCTAAGAGCGATGGCATCCTACCTATAGACCTAGTAGTGATGGCCAAAAACCTAATTGCGATGGCCTCCAACCTAAGAGCGATGGCCTCCAACCTACGAGCGATGGCCTCTAACCTACTAGCGGTGGCCTCCAACCAAACAGCGATGGCCTCCAACCTACTAGCGACACGTTTAGGATTGAAAAAGGGACAATAAAGAAGCAGTGGGATCTGGTTCTGCGACCCAAAAACAAAGGCCCTACGGTCGAGTCAATGAAGAGGGTCCTAAAACACACAAACAAAAACACAAAAAAGAGGCTCCTTCTTGTGGTGCACGGTTTTCTCGGATCTTCTTTGGAAGGGAAAAGGAGGGTAACAACAAAATAACATGTTGCAGGAATTTCCCAGGAGTCTGGTTGAAGTGGACGCCGAAGTTTAAGCACTGCAATCGGTTGGGAAGTTCCATCCGCTCCAAGCTCTGGTCAAAGTAAGAGTCAAAACTCAAACCTGGGTGTCTGCGAAAGCGCGGAAGAAGAATAGTGGGCTGCCAAGAAAAGTGAACAAACATAGAATGCAACGCAATAATAACTACTTCATCAAAGAAGAAGCAACGGAACAACTATGTATCATATAACATATATATAAAGCCACACGTTCGCTCAAAGCCGATAAATTTCTATGTCAGGGGACTCCGAAGGCTCCTTGGAAGCTTCAAATGCTCGTAGCCCTTCTCCAGCTGCTTTCCTAAGACCAGCTTCTCAAGACCTCCGGCGTTGATTCAGACGGCCGATGAAGCGACTCAACGCGAAACGTTAGGATCGTTGATGAAGCGGATGAAGCTAACCGGTGGGGTTCCCCACCACACAGGGTTCACCGCATTGTAATGGTGTAACGTCTCATGTGCCTTCCACCGCGTGGGACAATGGGACACCCTTTAACCTCTAAGAGACCCTTTATCGTATAGACACCTCTTGGAAGGTCCTGGTACACAATAATTACCTGTCTATCCTTGTGACTCATGCAGTGGATGGCATGGTCCTTGTGACAAAACTCCTCCCCAAACAGGGAAGTTCTGGCACTTCTTCGCTGCGAACTTCGGTGCAAGGCTTCCAGAAAATGCTTTCAAGAGATCCCGCATCTGCCGTACATTGACCACACAGCCTGGCATACCATCCTCCAACAGCTCCTTTGTTAGAGTGTTTATGTCCCTTTTTTCTTACAGGTCTCAATGGATCACCTGTGAAGTTCTTTTTCAGTCGGCTGCTTCGTCCGGTCCGGCCCGAACGGCGGACGGTGACGAGTACCGTCCCGGTTCGGTTCGGTGCGCGCGGTGCGCCATCCGGTTTTGGACGACCTCTAAGAGGCTAGACATATATATATATATATACTGTATATCTCACCACGAATCCCTGGAAGGTGGTTGGTCAAACTTTTTGCATTCAAGGGCATGGTTCGGTTCTACATCGACCTTGGAAACCCACCATGGAGGTAAAAAGCAAGTGTGCCGCCAGAGGTGAAGTCTTTGGGCGGTTGCAAATAGTCGCAGCCTCTTTGATATCCTTTGATGCTGCACTGCATGATGAAAGAAGCATGGGTTTCTCGAAGCCACCCATGCTGATACTGACATCCATACTTTTACTGAAAGAATGACATCCATCATCCCACCAAAACAACAGCTTAAGGATGCTTAAAGGCATTCAGTTGCCCCATGAGGCTGCTCCCTCAGCCTGGATCTCCCTGGGTGCCTTCTGGCAAATGAAGACCCTCCAAGCTGAAGTCCTTCGCGCGGTGGATGACGAGCTCCCGCAAATGTTTTGGAAGATCAAAGATCTCCAAGCTCTGGTTGGAGTCCTGAAGATTCGCAAATCACGAGGGAGACGAGTGAACATGTCTGGTTTCAGTGGTCACGAGGTTTGGGCGAAAACCCTATCGCCTGTCGCGTCCTCTGTCTCCCTGACCAAAATATTTTATATATACTGAGGGAAGATGGGTTGGGACTTGGTCCCAGGCGGTAAGTCCTAACACATAACCTTAAAACTAAGGGTTTTTTGAAAATACCCTGGTCAAAAGGAAATGAGATAGGAGGTAAGCAGGCCATTCACCAAATGAACTCCCAACTCATCAGGTTCGGGAAAACAGCAAACTGACCACATTCGGAGCGCTTCGGTTCAGCATGCCAACGATGTCCGCCTTTTTCCTCCCGTTCGGACATGCCAGCAACATGTCTGCATCCGGATACGTGATGTCCGGAAATTGGTCTTCAACATATGGTGGCATCAGATATTTAAAAGAAAATTAAAGCATCACAAAGATATGCGAGGACACCCTGAAGGGATTAGAAGACACAGGTTGTTCATAGACTGCAAGCAGTGTGGAACAGCTGGTGAGGTGGGACTTACGTGCAGTGAACCTGGTTGTTTCAAAGCAGCAACCTTGCAGGGAGCCTGCAACTATTCATGCAATGTGTGAAAACCCGGATGCCGTCTTTCCAAAGCAAGCAAACAACCCCTTTGAACTGTATATATGTATACATGAACAAACAGAACTCTGGTAAGGAACAAGCAATGATCCTGAAATGAAAGCGGCTGGCACCTGATGAGTTAGGAGTTACTGCTCATATGATCGGCCATCCGACATTCTCACTGCAACCTCGCCCAGATCAACTATCTGAGTATGTAACATGTCGATGTCCGGATGCTTCGCGCCCGGAGACTCTCGCATGAACAGGTTGCCCAAAACAACAAAACATAATAAAGAAAGCCATGGTCACACTCTGAGAAGCCCTTTTTCAAGGGAACAAACACATCCTGGCCCCAACTCCTAACTCAGCAGGCATGTGTGTCATATATATATATTTACTTAAAGTTCGTTATCTATATATATATATAACTGCTCATGTGCTAGGACTTACACACGCTTCCTCAAAGCACAACCTGGCTGAGTTCATGCAACTGTGCATTCCACTGGTCAGCGTTTGCAGGGTGCATCGTCTCTAGGTACACCTTGATGACGTGTTTCAAGCAAAGAATGAGGCATCTCCCAGCAGAGCGGTTATCACTCCAGCTGGCGGTCTTATCAGCCTGCCCCGGAAAACGGCAACTCCAGAAGGACTTTGCCGGGTGGCGGTTTACACCGCAACCTGTGACCGGAGGTATGTTCACAAGGTGTTCACCCTTCTCCCGGAGCGCAATCCATTCAGGGCTCAGGTGGTATTGCTTGAAGCGAGCCTGCGATGGAGTTCCGTGTCCGCCTGCACTCGGGGCTGATGGCGGCGGCAAACTCTCCATCTCCTTGGGCAAAGGTTCATCGCATTCATCTCCGCTAGAAAGAGGTTCTCCTTCGTAATCCCTCATTTCATCATCTGAAGCACAGCTGCTTGCATCACCATCCCTGTCATCTCCACCTTCTCCGAAGAGATTCTCCTCCACATCCTTTGGCTTTACCATGCCATCGGTTGGCTCCATGTCCGGGTCATCGTCAATGTCTTCTTGGCGTTCATCTTCATCATTCTCTGAAGAATCATCTCCTGGCGAACAGACGGTAGAACATTTGTTTAAGGTCGGTAAGTCCTACCTCATCAGATTGAGATATTTGCCGCAACGTATTGCAGTCACATGAGATAGGAGTTGTGGACCTCAAGCCAATTGACATATATATTATACATAAAAACATATAAATATATTAGGCGCAAACGTCTTGAAACTTGCATCAATGTTGGAAAGAAAATGCACACATGTCTTGGAATGTATCGATGCACTCCTGCGTAGTGCTCTCGCAGGAGGTCGAAACCGCTGCGTTCAGCTTCCACTGAGATGCAACAGACCTCCCTTTCTGGGAAGGTTTGGCTGTATAGCATGTACTTCCCTGGGCCACCTTGATTCGCATCGTCAGCCAGAATGAACTTCAGTCGAAGGATTTCGAAGCCCCGGCCCTTGCCTACAAACTCTTGCTGTCCATTGACCGTATGAACAGCCCTTTTCAAGTACTGCGATGTCGCCAGGGCATTCTGCTTCAGATCGAAGACAAAGTCGAGGATCTTTTTGTTGATCGCTGTCAATTTCTCGAGCCAATTGTGGGGTTGTCGGGTAAACAACAGCTTGCGGTCACGCCTGTGCCCGCAAATCGCCTTCTCGACTGCTCTGGCGATTAAAGTTGGCAGGGCTGCACATGTTCCGTTGTCCATGCGAAGTGCCCAGTACCATCTGCAGGGGCGTGCATATGTGCACAAACAAAACCCTGGTTCGAACCTTTACAAACAAGCGTGTGAGGTAGGAGTTAGGTCTGACAGAAACTCCTACCGCAGGACCCCTAGTGCATATATATACATACATAGCTGTCCACGAAAAAAATAAATTATATACATATATATATATGTATAGCAAAGTCCTAACTCATGAGTGTGCAACCATCATGCACCCGGGCCTATTGGGCACCATCTCAGTTTGATCGCTGCGGATTCCCGTGGACCTTTGCAGCCCTGTTGGATCAATCGTATCCATTGCCTGCTGAAAGGTTAAACCTTCATCAGCCGGGAAATGACTGCGGTCAAAGTAACCTGTAGCAGTCCACGCTGCGATGAACGCCTTGCGTGGCACAGCCTTCCACGCAGCCAACGTGCGATGGCATAGGGAGATTTTGTTCCACGCTGTCTGGCAAATAGGTTGTCCATTCGTGTTGATGCTCAATTCATGGTAGCCTCCAAGGTCACTCTACTACATGTAACAGTTTCAATACTCATGTGTTGGGACTTAGGCACCTTTCATGATGACCAAACTCATCTGAAAAGAAACATCAACTGCTCTAAACATCAAGAGAAGTAGCGTGGACGGTCCCTGAGGTCAGCTGCATAGCCGATACTTTCTGCGTCGGCTTCCTCCAATTTCGACCGTAGTAGCCCGTGCACCTGGTCAATGGGTTGACCATTTGCACTGAATCCACCGGCCTCCAGGGAAATCTTGAAATGCTACTGTAACTCCTAGCTCACAAGTGCAGCAGATATCGTCCATCATCTTACGAGATAACCTACTTATATATATATAAGTTGTATCTCAGCACACAGGTATACAAATGAGACCAAGACTGTCAACATATCCCGCACTCCTGTTTGGCCGGCATGTCACAAAAGTTCTGAAGTGACCATGCTTCGCGACTGGTCTGCAAGCCGGTGGTCTCGCTGTGGAATCCAGTCCACGCGTCTGCGAGCAACAGTGCACGAGTATCTGCTGCTACCTTGAGTTCTGCTCGGCGCTTGGAGAGGGCTGGCCCGATCAAACCGTGGAGTAGTGAAATCCAGGTGTCCCCTGTCATGAAGTGCGACGTGGAGGCCGACCTGAAGATCCAGCACTCCCCGTAGTGTTCTCGGTTGAACAACTCTATCTGATCCTGGTGCAGGAAATTGTCTGGCACGCAAATGCCGAGTGGCCCTGGGTCACCTGAGGAATAAGTTGAGGTGACCATGGTGATGCTCTTTCGAGTGTCTGCGACGTGATCCCCTCTTGATATCAAGTGGCCATGCTGCTTGTGTCCTTAGATCTCTCACCTTGCGCACTACAACTCCTATCTCATGTGCGTATACTGCAGAAACATGTGGGACTTTGCACTGAAAATGGCAGCCAAAGCTCTCTGCTTCCCTTTCATCCACAACTTGGGAGAAAATCTCAGAGCTTGTCTCCACACTTGGTCTACATTCAGCACCAAGTAGGGGTGGCATCCGCTGGCGATCTTCTCCGCCACTCCCTTTCGGGCAGCTTGTAGCCGGACATCGTCCCACTCCTGTTTGATTGCAGTCTTAAGTCCTACCTCACACGCCTCTCATTTGGTATGCAAAAAACACATAGTGTGTATATATATATATGCTTTATTGTGTTGTATATATATAATAATCATGCACGCTCTGTACTTGAGTCCAGTCACCAGATATTGGCCCGCAGTGTTCCGAGCACGCCGCTGCCAGTTGAATGCTGCCATGAACCGCCTGACCCATTTCAGGTCTATGTTCTCTGGACATGGTTTTGGCAACGGAATCAACGAGCTTTGTATATACTTTGATCGCACCACTCCAGATGCAGCAAAATCCTCCATGACCTTGCGATTGTAGTCTTCAGCTTTCCGGGTAGCCTCTGCTAGGCCCGCGTTGTATTCTCTTGCCAACCGCCTTGCAGTCAAAACCTAAGTTTATGCGCACCATCCAAGCAGCCCCTGTTCTGAAATGACTATACATGGACATGTATTGTATATATATATATACATATGGACATGAATATCTTCTATTTGCATATATGCGTTATAAAATATCTTCATGAGTATATATGGACATGTATTTCGATGTGTTGTTGTGAAAGTCCTAACTCATCAGCCCAAAGTAAAAGAAGAAAGGCTTGGTCATGCCTGGTCTAGGCACGCAGTGTCGGCCCAGGACAATGTCACGGCGCTGGGTCACCAATGAATGCCCCATTGTGAACTCCTCCAGACACTTGTTCAACTCCTCGCCAAGTATTCCAGGCCAGGGACAGTAAAAAGTGGTGAATCTATGTTGGTGACATGAGTTAGGACTTATGTATATATATATGTATACACCTATAAGTCTCCAAAATACTCGGCATGTGCTCCACCAAAGTACCCCGCCACCCTGTCCTGCAGCACAGGGCCAGGAACTGCCCATCTGTTAACAGTTCCTTTCTCCTCAGCAAGTTGCTGCAGGCCATCGTATCCGAGGTTCTTCCACCCCCTCAAAGTCTTTTGGCCGAGCGCTGCTTTGAGACTGTCCGGGATGTGAAAATATCTCTTCTGTTGATGAACTGAAAGTGAGCGCCATGACTGCTTTTCGCATTGGGCAATCAGCTGACACACTT